TCCTTATGATCTCAGATCGAGCTCCTTATGATCTCAGATCGAGCCCTTTATGCTCTCTAATCGAGCTTCTTACGCTCTCTGATTGGGCTCATAAGCTCGATTGTTTGCTTAAGATCGCGTGAATAAGATCGTTCAGATCGCACGCCTCAAACTCCAGGTCGAGCCCTTATTAGATCGCGATCAGCTCCTAGCTCTCAAATCGCGATTAGCTCTTAGCTCTGAGATTGCAAATAGCCTCAAGTCGTGTTCTCAGCTCTTGGATCGTGATCAATTCTCAGTTCTTGGATCGCGGCTAACTGCCAACGTTAGAAAAAAAGTGTAGAAAACTCAAAACAGTCTCAAAACATGCCGAAAAGGTGGATTTTGGCTCCAAAAATGGTCTCAACTAGGTTCCTTAGTGCCATGATATAAAGCTCAAAACGAGCTCTTCGTGGATATCTTACGGGCTCCAAAACTCCTTTCGGATCATAAGTTATGGTTGTTTTAGGTTTGCTTGTCCGTTTAAGGCCTATAAGTCGTGCGTTTGGGCTTCTAACGTCAGCTCTCTCTAGAAATTCATCTACTGGACATTTCATGTTAGTTATCAGATCGCGCTCAGCTTCGGATCACTCCAAGCCCTCAGATCGCAGTCCTAGCTCTCAGCACCCGATCGCGCCAGGCATAGTTTGAGCTCTTCAATTCAAGACTGCAGCCTATAGTGCGACAACCATTCATATCTAAGACATGAGTTTTTGAAGTGAAATTACGCACTCCAAAGGGGGGGGGGGGGGGTTCAGTTATGCCTAAAAGATCAGGCTGATGTCAGCTCAACAAGTGCCTAAAAGACAAAGTGTACTAGTTGTCAAACGCTTATTGCCTCAAAGATATTTTATACCAACCCTATCTTATCTTAAGATAAAGATGAATGAGAGCTCTCTATGTGTCAAGATAACTTGCAAAAACATTCATTACATTGATCTCAAAGGTGTATAGATGAGTACATCTCTTCGTAAAAAGGGAGGTTGGATAGATGAGAGCTAGACAAAACATTTGAGCTTTATTATTTTTTCTTTGTAAACAAAGTATTACTCCATCTTTGTACACTTTACAGGCAATATCATGGAAATAGTCAAAGAATAATAATATAACAGTGGACGTATAATTCGCTTTAAGCGTTCAAACCACTATAAAAATCTCTCTTGTCTATCTATTATATATGTTTCTGCAAACATATATAATCTCAGCACTATATTCAAATCTCATGAATCCATCATGTGTAATTTCAAAGACTCTCTTAGCACTTTGCACATCGAGTCGTTGGTGTCAAAATCAAGCATCAACACAAGGTATAAATCACATTTAAATATAAAGTTTACATTGATTAATTTGATGGTCCAATAAAATTGGTATCCTTACATAATAGCAAAATCAAATCCCTCCATTCATACAGCATGAATAATAGATTTTCATTTTAGTGTATTAGTGCTAAACCTAAACGTATTTGTATTGGAAATAAAGGACATAGCACTAAAAGAGCGTCTGCTTTCACTGCAACAAAAAGGGCTTTTAGCTACGATTTCAAAATTCATCGCCGAAGGTAACTATTAGCGACGAAATATGAAATTGGTCGCCAATAGTTTTGCAGACTTTCTAATCCTCGCAAGAGATGGCGGGAAACAAATTGGCGACGGACTTAGCGATGACATAATTCGTCATATAATGTTTTTGACGACGAAAATACAAAAAGCGACGCCCAAGTTGTTTTCGCGATGTAACCATATGTCGTCGTGGATACTTTTTAGAGACGAAAATAGTACAAAATGTAGCCAAAAGTATTTAGCAAAGCAAATGCACAATGCCATAAAATGTGTTTGGCGACGAAAATATAGAAAGCGACGCCAAAGACATTTAGCTATTGAACAAAAGGCCCGTCGTAACAGCTTTTTGGTGACGAAAATATAGAAAGCAACGCCAAAGACATTTAGCTATGGAACAAAAGGCCCATCGTAACAACTTTTTGGTGATGAAAATATAGAAAGTGACACCAAAGACATTTAGCTAAGCAACAAAAGGCTCGTCGTAACAGCTTTTTGGAGACAAAAATATAAAAAACGACGTAAAATCCATCTGGCTACGCAACAAATAGTTCGATGAAAAATGTTTTTGGTGACGCAAATATAAAAAACAATGCCAAAAACATATTGCGACGCAATTTATGTTTCATTGTGAAAACGCTTTGGTGTCGATTTTCCTAAAATCGTTGCCATTAGTATATTAGAATTTAATTTTTAATGTAATTTTATATTTATATGTCAATAACTGAAAGTGTAAAACCAATTAGTAATAAAAGAAATCAAAATTAAAAACTGTGTCAACTGTCAATATAAAAAATAATGTCTTAGAAGTTTGGCTCTTGAATTTGACATTCAAGCATGTACTTCAATTTAAGAATGTTGCTAGTAAAGAATTTATTATTTCACTTATTGGGTTGGTTATTATTTAATACTTATTTAAAGCCTTGATATATAAATATATTTAAATATTTATTAAAAGCAAAAGACAATGCTCTTATTATTATTATTATTATTTATTTTGTAAATACGAAAAACACTATGTGATAAATTGTTTTTCAGGTTTCCACTGTTGGTAGCTTATGTTTGGTACTTGTTTGGAATCATTGTTATTTTTTTATAATATTTATTATAATAAATTTATAATATTATTTAATATTTATATTTAAATGTCAAATTTAGTACATTAAATAATATTTATTAATATTAAAGCAAATAAATCAAAATTAATGCACAAAGAAAAATCACATCACAATTATACAAATTAAATTTTGATAACAATAATAAATATTATTAATTCTCAATATCATCTTCAACTTGTACATCTTCACTTTATATCATCATCACTAACTCTACTACTTGACTCCATAAATTGAACAATCTATGGTTCCACATCCACCCTACGAAGTTTTTCTTGTTCATTAACTTCTGCATCAATATGAAAACTAAATTCATCTAAATTATTGTCTTGATATACATCATAAGTGATCGATTAATCTTCCTCGATTTTATGGGGAATGTCGTACAAATACCTATGTTGTACCTTTTGTATAACTTTCCAAACCGGGTTGATGTGTAATTCAGTTTTCACAGAGAACCGGATTGTTAAAGGTACCAGATTTCAGTCTGACTGACTAGTATGATCCGGTTCTTTAAACAGTAGATTTGGGAATTCACATCATAAGAATGTGATATATGTAAAACTTGACACTACTAAAAAAACCTCCTTTCTTGACATAATGAGTTGTCAAATTTTCTTGACTGTTTTAAAAAACTGTCAAGAATGGTGATTTTTGACTGATTGTTGATCTTTTATGAACTGTCAAGAATTTAAAATAATCTTTGACCGTTTTGGATGATTCTTGACAGTTATTAACTGTCAAGGAATTGGTTAAAAATAAATTTTGTAAATATTGTTCTTGACTGTTGTAGTCAAAATCTTTGACAGTTTTTAACTGTCAAGGATTAAGTATATATATAAAAAAAAAAAAAAATTGCCTTTTTTTGCCACCAATTTTTCAGTCACTATTCCTATAATTTTTTCTTTAAAACTTATGCTTACCCTCTATTTCACTCATTTTTGCAAACCCTCATAGTCAATATATTTCCGGCACTGGAAAACAAATTCTCGTTTTTACCAGTCCAGTTCAGTAGATGACGACTCGCTCAGTGACTTTGGCGCTGACAAAGTTTGTTAACTTCGGTGAGTTCTTGTCGAGGCGTATCCCCAACACCCAAATGTAGGAGTATTCAAAAACATGGAGAAACTGAACCGAATCGGAAATCGAAGTGGTTTTTCGGTTATCCGAGAAACAAGTTCGGTTTTGGTCCATAGAAATAGAGAAAACCGAATTTTTGATTTTATTAAAAAAAATTAAAAAGTAAACTATTTTTCATTAAAATTAAAAAAAATTAAATTAAAAAGATTATAAATCTAAAATTAAAGAAAATCAAAACCCCAAACGCGGTTTTAAAAATAAAAATAAAACAATTTTTCCCACCTCAAAATTTTCACCAAGGCAAATTCTCCCACCCATTTTTCATTAAGTCAAAGCTAGGATTATAAACTACTAGAATAACCCATTTCTTCTACCCAAAATTTCGGCGCCCAAAAACCCATCCTTCTGCCCAAATTTCTTCCTCCCAAAAACCAAAATAATTTCCCTCTCTCTCTTCTACCCAAAATCTCTCTTTGTCGCTCTTCCACTGAATCGCAGAAGCTCTCTAAAACAAACAAAAAATGTAGAGATTCAATTCTCTATCTCCAATCTCAAGAAAAATATCAATTCTCAAATTCTAGTGTTAGATTTTGGCTTGCAAAATTCTCTTAATCCATCTATTCATCACCGATTGATCTTACTGCTACCTTTCCCACCTCGTTTTTACCATCCGATCAACTCCCATTCTTGCTAAATATGATCTTTGTTTCATATGGAAAACTCAATTCATTTGTTTCTCTATCAATTTCTTCTTTTAATCGTATTTTATGTTCAAGTTCAAGGCTTTGTCGATCAATCCTCTGAAAAGTTAAGCTTTGTTTGTCAGTAATTCAGTATCTGCTAATGGTCCAAACGAATTGTTAGACTATTTTAAGTCTTTTGAGCCTTAGAATCTGAAGGTAAGAAGTTTTGTTTATCGTGATTTCCTCTTCGACATATGGTTGACATTTGAGCTTTGGAGTTTCTGATTGCTATCCAATCTCCCATTGATTGTGGGGGAAACATTTGCGATATTGTAGTCATGCTTAGATATTTTAGTTGCCACTCAGGAAGACTATGTTACAAAGAACGTATAATAGTGTTTAGTAATCACCATACTAAGCACACTCCCGCCTGCGACCTCTCTATACATTAAAAGCCATAGTTTTAAAATACTGCCACGTGTCAACAACCTGTACTATTTAGACTTATGCAACTGAAAAAGAAGTCGTTACTTTGTCCGTATCTAGAAAAGTGAAAGCAAAAGCTTCCGTCACAAGCCAAACCCGAACGCCGCCACCACAAAAACTAACCGCATTTTCTATACAGAGATGTTGAGCCGAATGTCACACCTATGTGACAAACGTTTGTTCACTCAATTCGTGTAGTAGTATAGTCGGACGGAGGACTTTATTTATTCAGATTATCTATCACCCCTTTACATATAGAGATGCCTTCATCATCATCGCCTTCTTCTACACAGCAGCAATTGATGACAATTGATGAATCTGTAACCTTAATACCTGGCCTTCCATACGACGTTGCATCTCTGATTTTATCATTCATTCCTTACTCCCACCAATCACGTCTCAAAGCCACCTGCAAATCATGGTGTCTATTTTTCTCATCCAAAACCCTAATATTTCACCGCCGTAAACTCTCCCGCCTATCGCATCTCCTCTGTATATTCCCTGAAGATCCTTCTATTTCGTCTCCTTTCCTCTTCGACGCGTCTAATCTCGCGTGGCGTCCACTCCCGCCTCTCCCTTGTAACCCCTCCACCTACAGTCTCACCAATTTCACTTCCGTCTCCCTTGGGCCCGACGTCTACCTTGTCGGTGGGTCCCACTTTGACGCGCGTTCCTTTCCTTTGGATCTACCACTCCCGACTGACTCGGCCTTCAGGTTCAATTTCATCACCTTCTCGTGGGAGAGAATCGCGCCGATGATTTCGCCACGCGGGAGCTTCGCTTGCGCGGCGGTACCGGGATTGAATCAGATAATTGTTGCCGGTGGAGGGTCCAGGCATAGTTTGTTTGCTGCGGGAGGGAGTAGGATAAGTTCGGTGGAGAGATATGATGTGGCGAGAAATGAGTGGGTAGAGATGGATGGGTTGCCCAGGTTTAGAGCGGGATGTGTGGGGTTTATGGCGGAGGAAAGTGGTGAGTTTTGGGTGATGGGTGGGTACGGGGACTCGAGGACGGTTTCGGGAGTGTTTCCTGTGGACGAGTACTACAGAGATGCAGTGGTGCTGGAACTGAAGAAGAATGACGATGATGGTAGTCATGGTTGGGGGACTTGGAGGGAAGTTGGTGATATGTGGGGGGAAGGGGAGAGGACACGGCTAGGGAAGATTGTCGTTATGGAGGATGAAGATCATCGAAGGCCTGAAGTTTTCATGCTTGATAATAATGATATCTCAAGGTAACTTCTATACTTTGTCTGTGAAATGAGTGAGTTCAGTCCTTTACATGCAATTTAGATTATCTATAGTGGTAGTTAAATCTCGAGTTTAATTTGTTTTTGCTGTGCCATGAGCATTATGTTTCGTTGATTTGGTTATTTACTTAAGCGGTATTCACTTAACTAGCCATAAGGTTAGTCTATGCATAGCTGCTTGAAGGTGTAGGTTTGCCGAAAGTTGCTAGAATTGTAATCAACTAGTAAAATACAAAAAAGTTGGGTGGCAATTGGGTTATAGACGTTGTTGTGAAAACAAAACTTCATATAAATAAACACACTTCTAACTTTTTAATTTGCCTGTTAGATCAATTTTTGAATTCTTTTCGTTTTTTGTGCCATAAATTGATAATCGGTTCCTGTTTCATTTGTTTGCTTACTAATTGTGGACTCTATCTTAGTTATGAACATTAGTTCTTTTTTCTTTCTTTCTTTTTTATTTAACTTTTATTTCGCCATCTATAAACTGTTTAATTGGGTTGCATTTTCTGTCATTTGTGTGTATCTCTGGTTGTGGTTGGTCAATTGCTCAATTTTTTGAGTAAAGATTGTATCTATTTTTTTATTTTAGTAATCTTGCACTGCATAGTGACTTGGTGAGATTAGGCTTTGTTTGATAAATTCAACAAACNCTTAAGCGATCTTAAATCGCTTAAGCGACCAAGAGTAAAATCGACGAATCGCTTAAGCGATCTTCTATATCGCTTAAGCGATCTTCTATATTGCTTAAGCGATTCGTCGCTTTTACTCTTAAGCGATCTGAAATCGCTAATCATCTGCCCATCGCTTAAGCGATTCTTACGGAGCGTGTTTTGTTTATATTTGATTTGGTTTAATTTTTTTGCTGATATTTTGTTTATATCGATTGTGCAGATTTTCCAGAGCGTAAACTATAGAGAGTATGGATTGGAGTATGTAAGTGATACGGTACACTCGTCATTCTCCAAGTCAACCACACACCATGCAACATGATATGTGTGATTCTCGTTGTCTTGTGTAGTGGCCACCAACAATGTACCTCCATACTTTCCCGTCAGAAAGCAACCATCAACAGCCAACACCTTTCTCATGTTTACAAAACCCTTTATAGCAGAACCGTAAGTAACAAAAAAATATTTAACATCATATTCCTGTCCCACTTCAAAGCCGTCTTGCTACCTTGGTTTGTCAACTCAAGCTTATAACGGTACGCTTCTAATACTGCGTACCCGTGCTCCGGCGTGCCCCTCACAAAATCTTGTGTATGTTGTCTCCCTTTCCATCATTTCTAGTAACTAACAGCACATCCCAACTTTGTACGCATAAGTCTCTGAATGTCTTTAGGAGATGGACCTTTCCCTTCAACGAACCAACTTTTGACAAATTGTCCAATAACATTAGCGGACGCTTGTCGATGCTCACCTAAAATATGTTCCAAACCACATGTGTGCTCACGGGTATATGTGCTAAGAATAAATTTTTTCGACTCCGCCAACCTTCTACAATAAACCCGAAGTTGTTAATAGAAAGAGAGTTTCCAATAGTTGCACTTTTTGATGCAATCTAAAGGACATTGTCGCGATGGTTCCATGAGCATCGTACGGAGTCAGATAATTTTACTACAACCCTTGTTCCGTCAGCTGAAAAATTATTGCGAGAACGTATTGAACTGTCAAATGCACTGTTTGCCTATCCTCTTAATGCTCAAGAATTCACTGTGCGCGGCTATGGTTTGGATGCTCTAGTTAACCTTGTTAGAAAAACTTGCAGCTGTAAAGTGTTTGACATTCAACGTTTACCTTGTCCTCATNAGTAACCATTACGTCAATGCTAAACATATAGGGTTTATGATTCGTTCAGTGGACCGTGATCTTCATTATATGAACAACCTTCGCCGCGGCGAAATGAGCCAGTCACGCATCAGATTCAGCTCCTTTGTCGCCGCGGTGAGATTCCTTCTTCGCCACGGCGAAGTCTCATTTTCCAGTTTTTGTAAAACGCACAGTTTCGTTTTTAGGCTAAGTTTTAGGATTTTGGGCGAGGTATAAAAGAAACACTTAGTCTTTTTGTTTAGGGCGTTCGTGGAGAGATAGACAGCAGTTTTTACATTTTCTTAGATTTATTTTTGAGTGATTTTGGATTAAACAAAGTGTGAAGATTCGAGGTGAAACCTGTGGATTCGTCAATTGGGGAGATTTTCTCTTGTGTCCATGATGTTGAACTTGGAATTTTTCGTTTCTTTTAATCGTNTTTTGTAAATATTGTTCTTGACTGTTGTAGTCAAAATCTTTGACAGTTTTTAACTGTCAAGGATTAAGTATATATATAAAAAAAAAAAAAAATTGCCTTTTTTTGCCACCAATTTTTCAGTCACTATTCCTATAATTTTTTCTTTAAAACTTATGCTTACCCTCTATTTCACTCATTTTTGCAAACCCTCATAGTCAATATATTTCCGGCACTGGAAAACAAATTCTCGTTTTTACCAGTCCAGTTCAGTAGATGACGACTCGCTCAGTGACTTTGGCGCTGACAAAGTTTGTTAACTTCGGTGAGTTCTTGTCGAGGCGTATCCCCAACACCCAAATGTAGGAGTATTCAAAAACATGGAGAAACTGAACCGAATCGGAAATCGAAGTGGTTTTTCGGTTATCCGAGAAACAAGTTCGGTTTTGGTCCATAGAAATAGAGAAAACCGAATTTTTGATTTTATTAAAAAAAATTAAAAAGTAAACTATTTTTCATTAAAATTAAAAAAAATTAAATTAAAAAGATTATAAATCTAAAATTAAAGAAAATCAAAACCCCAAACGCGGTTTTAAAAATAAAAATAAAACAATTTTTCCCACCTCAAAATTTTCACCAAGGCAAATTCTCCCACCCATTTTTCATTAAGTCAAAGCTAGGATTATAAACTACTAGAATAACCCATTTCTTCTACCCAAAATTTCGGCGCCCAAAAACCCATCCTTCTGCCCAAATTTCTTCCTCCCAAAAACCAAAATAATTTCCCTCTCTCTCTTCTACCCAAAATCTCTCTTTGTCGCTCTTCCACTGAATCGCAGAAGCTCTCTAAAACAAACAAAAAATGTAGAGATTCAATTCTCTATCTCCAATCTCAAGAAAAATATCAATTCTCAAATTCTAGTGTTAGATTTTGGCTTGCAAAATTCTCTTAATCCATCTATTCATCACCGATTGATCTTACTGCTACCTTTCCCACCTCGTTTTTACCATCCGATCAACTCCCATTCTTGCTAAATATGATCTTTGTTTCATATGGAAAACTCAATTCATTTGTTTCTCTATCAATTTCTTCTTTTAATCGTATTTTATGTTCAAGTTCAAGGCTTTGTCGATCAATCCTCTGAAAAGTTAAGCTTTGTTTGTCAGTAATTCAGTATCTGCTAATGGTCCAAACGAATTGTTAGACTATTTTAAGTCTTTTGAGCCTTAGAATCTGAAGGTAAGAAGTTTTGTTTATCGTGATTTCCTCTTCGACATATGGTTGACATTTGAGCTTTGGAGTTTCTGATTGCTATCCAATCTCCCATTGATTGTGGGGGAAACATTTGCGATATTGTAGTCATGCTTAGATATTTTAGTTGCCACTCAGGAAGACTATGTTACAAAGAACGTATAATAGTGTTTAGTAATCACCATACTAAGCACACTCCCGCCTGCGACCTCTCTATACATTAAAAGCCATAGTTTTAAAATACTGCCACGTGTCAACAACCTGTACTATTTAGACTTATGCAACTAAAAAAGAAGTCGTTACTTTGTCCGTATCTAGAAAAGTGAAAGCAAAAGCTTCCGTCACAAGCCAAACCCGAACGCCGCCACCACAAAAACTAACCGCATTTTCTATACAGAGATGTTGAGCCGAATGTCACACCTATGTGACAAACGTTTGTTCACTCAATTCGTGTAGTAGTATAGTCGGACGGAGGACTTTATTTATTCAGATTATCTATCACCCCTTTACATATAGAGATGCCTTCATCATCATCGCCTTCTTCTACACAGCAGCAATTGATGACAATTGATGAATCTGTAACCTTAATACCTGGCCTTCCATACGACGTTGCATCTCTGATTTTATCATTCATTCCTTACTCCCACCAATCACGTCTCAAAGCCACCTGCAAATCATGGTGTCTATTTTTCTCATCCAAAACCCTAATATTTCACCGCCGTAAACTCTCCCGCCTATCGCATCTCCTCTGTATATTCCCTGAAGATCCTTCTATTTCGTCTCCTTTCCTCTTCGACGCGTCTAATCTCGCGTGGCGTCCACTCCCGCCTCTCCCTTGTAACCCCTCCACCTACAGTCTCACCAATTTCACTTCCGTCTCCCTTGGGCCCGACGTCTACCTTGTCGGTGGGTCCCACTTTGACGCGCGTTCCTTTCCTTTGGATCTACCACTCCCGACTGACTCGGCCTTCAGGTTCAATTTCATCACCTTCTCGTGGGAGAGAATCGCGCCGATGATTTCGCCACGCGGGAGCTTCGCTTGCGCGGCGGTACCGGGATTGAATCAGATAATTGTTGCCGGTGGAGGGTCCAGGCATAGTTTGTTTGCTGCGGGAGGGAGTAGGATAAGTTCGGTGGAGAGATATGATGTGGCGAGAAATGAGTGGGTAGAGATGGATGGGTTGCCCAGGTTTAGAGCGGGATGTGTGGGGTTTATGGCGGAGGAAAGTGGTGAGTTTTGGGTGATGGGTGGGTACGGGGACTCGAGGACGGTTTCGGGAGTGTTTCCTGTGGACGAGTACTACAGAGATGCAGTGGTGCTGGAACTGAAGAAGAATGACGATGATGGTAGTCATGGTTGGGGGACTTGGAGGGAAGTTGGTGATATGTGGGGGGAAGGGGAGAGGACACGGCTAGGGAAGATTGTCGTTATGGAGGATGAAGATCATCGAAGGCCTGAAGTTTTCATGCTTGATAATAATGATATCTCAAGGTAACTTCTATACTTTGTCTGTGAAATGAGTGAGTTCAGTCCTTTACATGCAATTTAGATTATCTATAGTGGTAGTTAAATCTCGAGTTTAATTTGTTTTTGCTGTGCCATGAGCATTATGTTTCGTTGATTTGGTTATTTACTTAAGCGGTATTCACTTAACTAGCCATAAGGTTAGTCTATGCATAGCTGCTTGAAGGTGTAGGTTTGCCGAAAGTTGCTAGAATTGTAATCAACTAGTAAAATACAAAAAAGTTGGGTGGCAATTGGGTTATAGACGTTGTTGTGAAAACAAAACTTCATATAAATAAACACACTTCTAACTTTTTAATTTGCCTGTTAGATCAATTTTTGAATTCTTTTCGTTTTTTGTGCCATAAATTGATAATCGGTTCCTGTTTCATTTGTTTGCTTACTAATTGTGGACTCTATCTTAGTTATGAACATTAGTTCTTTTTTCTTTCTTTCTTTTTTATTTAACTTTTATTTCGCCATCTATAAACTGTTTAATTGGGTTGCATTTTCTGTCATTTGTGTGTATCTCTGGTTGTGGTTGGTCAATTGCTCAATTTTTTGAGTAAAGATTGTATCTATTTTTTTATTTTAGTAATCTTGCACTGCATAGTGACTTGGTGAGATTAGGCTTTGTTTGATAAATTCAACAAACAGGGTGTGTTAGATTGTTAAGAAAACTAGGAAGCTTGTAACTGAACCAACCTAGATTTTATTTGGTTGCATTTATGAAACATAGTGCTAATAACCATACTGAGCTTGTCTAATTCAATTCAACACTCTTTTTCTTTCAGTTTAGTTTATATTGTTGATGCCTCTGTTTGCCCTGATATGCTTCACCTGGAGCCCTTGTGCAAAGGTTAACTATGTAAATTGTAAAGCTTTGTGTAATTACTTAATTTGTACGTGGTGGCTGTTATTTTCCTCCCAAAGAAAGATTATATACTGTCAAAAGGAAAAACTTATTGGTTTAAATGCCCTTAATCTAGGTTGGGGAAAATACATCCCAAAAGTTTTGAAAATAGTATCAATCCTTTCCTCCCTTTAGTTAAAACAATAATCAGATGTGTGAAATTTCATTCATGCTCCTTAAATAATTATCAGGAAAAACTGTCATTTCGTAGCTTTGATTATTTAATCAACTAAAAACTATGAAATTTTGATGTTGTTTCTGAAATCAGAGGGTTGTAAGTGTGTTTTCCTTAAACCTCAGTGGAGGTCAGTGTATCAAGCATGATGGTATCGAGCGTGTTCTCAAAAAGGAAAGGATGAGAAATGGATGGATGGTTTATCAAGCATTATCATGATGCAATCTCTACACGTGCCTTCTAATCAGTTTACTTTTTGTCGAAACATTACACTTTCAAGTTATCATCTTTGCGTGAATTTAATATGTTCAATTGAAGTTCTATATAGAGACATTATCACATGTTCCACGTATTGTATTCAGGTATGACAAGGCTTTGAACCGGTGGCACAAGGAGACATCGGTGCCAAGAAAAGTTCCTTGCAAGAAATCATTTGGTTTTGTTGCATTGAATGGAGAGTTACATGTGATGAGTCCTGTAAATGGAATAGATTCAATGGAAACGCGACGACCGCGACAACATAAAAGAGGAACTCTGTTCATCCAAGTCTACCATCCTAGGAAGAAGACATGGAGGTCCATTTATACAAAGCCACCATTTCCTCAGCCATTGGATTTCAGTACTGCAGTTATGTGCTCCATTAAGCTGTAGACATAATTGTCTTGTATGTAGTGCAAATACTTGTACCTGAATTGGTTAAGCATTAATATGTGTATACATTGTGTCTATGTTGATACGACTGGTTCTTTGTGGTTAGCATATTAGCTAATCAATGAACAGATTGATAAGGTATAGAATCAGTTCAGTGAATGAATGTAAATACGCAATACTAAATACACAATACTAGTATTGTGTCTTTATTTCGTTTCACCAAAATAGAATAAAAATGGGCGTGCATATATTATTTTGGTGCAGTGGTTCACAACATCACGAAAACCCTGCCCTCTTGTAATGTGTATCATAATCTACCTTTTAGCTTCTAGATTGCTCTTGAGCATCTTTCAGGACCAAATGAAGCGAGATATGTCTATTGTATCGAGTACAAGTATTTGGAATTAATTCATGTTAATTAAAAAAATCAACCAAATATCTACAATAAACGCGTGGATGAAAGGATGAAGATACATAATTTTCTCTTCTAGATAAAAGCCGGCGGAGGAGAGCAGCGTTTTGAAGGAGTCTTATAATTAATTACACTGATGACCCGGTACGAACAGGTCTTGTCTTGTGGCCTTCAACGCGAGAACTCATAAGTATATATGTACATACAGTTGAATATACTGTATTTTCAAAAAAGTTTAATTAAAGTTGGTGACTACAATTGGTGGACACATCAATTCAAAGCTGTATACCCCAATTAGTCTAACCTCCCACATGAATTGTGATTAGTTATCTCCCCCACACCGCCAACACCACAAACCCTTCCCAACTGCATATATTTCAAACACCAATTGCTGTTTTTATTTTATTGAAAACAACAAATTAAATTGAATAATTTAAAAGCTGAAAATAATTAATCATGCATCCATCTCCAAGCCAATGGCGTGACGTGCAATGCATCTTAATATATGTCTAAACTCTAAAGCATGTGACTTTTGATATGAATCAAAGACTCACATTGAATCCCATTTTTTACTTCATGAATCACGACTAATTCAATTCAAATCCATTTACCGCCCGAATCAGTGGTCAAGAATCAAGACACTGTAACAGATCAAAAATTGGAAATTTCCAAGTCAACCAATTAAGTAACTTCCTGCATGCCTTCATATATGCATATGCATATGCATATACATATAGTCTGTTCGCCAATGCAGTTCATCTCAAATTTGAAGCGTCTCTTTTCTGTATGAATCAATTGTTTGTCCGACATAAGCAAAAATGAAGAACCTAAATATGTTGCTAGTAGTGACACTGATAACATCTGTTTTGTCTATGAACATGATGCAACATTACGAGGCTTCCAGAATCTTGGAGATAAAGACACTCCATCATCATCAAAACGAGTTTTTGCTAGAGTCTCTGCAAAAGGCTCCGGTTCCTCCTATAGGAAAAAATGGTTGCACCTACATTCCTGGGAGTGGTGGCCCTCCTTGCACCAATCAAAGGCATTTCGCGGGCCGTGCTGGGCATGTCTCTTCTTCCTAAATAATTGTTCATTCCAATCAATGTGGCAACTCATACTTGATATATATAAAGCCTTATTATATCTAATTTAGTTGAAATGAAATAAGGGGAAGGTGTCCCAAATAGCGTCATTTTCCCTCTTTGTTTTCTGTTTTTTATTTGTTCATTGCGTGAATTAGCATGCAAATGCTTATATACAATTTGTCTTTATTAATAGTGAATAAAAAGCGAGCTTTTTGTCATTTATACTTGGTTCTTGATCATCTGGAAAAAAAAAAAAAATTGTCCGTGCATGTATCATGCAAGATATGTAGTTGACGATGTAAGATGTAGGTATGTATATGAATATGAACAAGAAGCATTTACCAAATACCTAATGAATCTATTTTCATGGCAATCTGTTGATACAGAAATCTGTACCAACTAGAGAATTTCGGTTGACCCTATTGGAACTGGAATGGATGCGCGCGTGATTATGGATAACCAGCAGTGGATGAATAATAAATGCAATAAAATAAATGGCAGAGAGATTTTTAAAGTGGTTCGGCAAATTAGAACTTCAGCCTACGTCCACTGTTATCTTATTGTTTTTGAGAGCTTACAAAAGTATAATTTATAGGAAAATTTGCTTAGAACAATTGCCCAACCCCCTTGAAAACAAGTTATGATGGGTTTATATAGCACCCATTTACATGATAGAGTTGAGATAATATTCAAATATGTAGAATTAGGCAGTTGCATGATCTTTGGCTACTTTAGTTGGAGTCTAAGTTAATCTGAATATCTTCCTTCCAAATTGAGCCAATCTAAATATCTTCTATCCTAATAGGGAATTATCCTCTTCGGATTGACCGCACAACAATAACCCCCTAGTTTTTGGAGCGTGTAATCGCGCTTCAAAAACTAATGTCTTTGATTTGGATCGTTGTCGTAATATAGACTACAGTCTCGAATTGAAGAACTTGAGTTATGCTTGACGCGATCTAAGAGATCTTGAACACGTGATCTCAAGTGAATGAGCGAGCTTATGAGCTTAATTAGGGAGCATAAAGAGATCGATCTAAGAACATAAAGAGCTTGATCAGAGAGTGCGAGGAGTTTGATTAGAAAGCGTGTAGAGCTTGATCTGAGAGCATAGCTCGATCAGAAAGCATGGAGATCTTGATCTGAGAGAATGACTCGATCAGAAAGCATGGAGAGCTTGATATGAGAGCATTGCTTGATCAGAAAATATGGAGAGCTTGATCTGAGAGCATTCTCGATTAGAAAGAATTGAGAGCTTAATTTGAGAGCATTACTCGATCAAAACGCATGGAGAGCTTGATCTGAGAGCATAGCTCGATCGAAAAGCTTGGAGAGCTTGATTTAAGAGCATAGCTCGATCAGAAAGCATGGAGAGCTTGATCTGAGAGCATAGCTCGATCAGAAAGCATGAAAAGTTTGATCTGAGAGCACTGCTCGATCAGAAAGCTTGGAGAGCTTGATCTGAGAGCATAGCTCGATCATAAAGCTTGGAGAGCTTGATCTGAGAGCATTGCTCGATCATAAAGCATGGACAACTTGCTCTGAGAGCATTGATTTATAAAAAAGCATGGAGAGCTTGCTCTGAGAGCATTGCTCTATAAAAAAGCATGAAGAGCTTGATCTGAGAGCATTGCTTGATCAGAAAGCTTGGAGAGCTTGATCTGAGAGCATTACTCGATCAGAAAGCATGGCGAGCTTGATCTGAGAGCATAGCTCAATCAGAAAGCATGGAGAGCTTGATCTGAGAGCATTGCTCGATTAGAAAGCTTGGAGAGCTTGATCTGAGAGCATAGCTTGATTATAAAGCTGGAGAGCTTGATTTGAGAGTATTACTCGATCAGAAAGTTTGGAGAGCTTGATCTGAGAGCATTGCTCAATCATAAAGCAGAAAGAGTTTGATCTGAGAGCATAGCTCGATCAGAAAACATGAAGAGCTTGATCTTAGAACATTGCTTGATCAAAAAGCTTGGAGAGCTAGCAAGCTCTTTCAAATCTGAGAGATTTGAGCACGCGACCTAAGCGATCTGGCCACGTGATCTGAAGCTGAAGGTTAGAGTGATCTAAGCACGCAATCTGAGCGATCTGGCCACGCGATCTAAGAACTCTGATTTGGAATAGGCTTCAGTATTTAATGATAACTTGAGCTGTAGATAAGGATGTATACGAGTCGAGTCGAGCCGAGCTGAGTATCTCGGTACTCGAGCTCGACTCGTGATGAACAGTACTGAGCTCGAGCTTAATCGAGCTTCAGTACTTGAGCTCGAGCTCGAGCTCGCGAGTGTGAAAGGGTACTCGAGCTCGAGCTCGATTGATCTTTTCCACATTTTTAGTCTTTCAAAATAATTTTTATTAAAATTACCTTTTGGTTTTGAAGTTTGAACCATTCAACACGCATGTTACTGGTGAGCACATGTCATCAGAAATTCACAATTCACACCTTTACTTCTTCACTCTGCCTTTTAATCTCTCTCTCTCTCCAAACAAAATCTGACACCAAATATTTCGTTGATTTGCTTGAAATTACTTCGTATCTTTTAATCTGATTCTATATCCACTGTTTGAATTTATACTACTTCAAAGAAACACTTCGCTTTGTGATCTCGTTGCGTCACTATTTTTTTTTCCTGTTTTTGCTCCCTTGTTGTCCTTTAGTTTTCTCTGTTTTGATTTAGCTTTGTTATTTTTTCTGAAAATGGCTGAAATAGTTGCTACTGTTGCGGGTGTTGTGAGTGCTGTTATCGATGTTGGCAAGTGCTTTGGGCGTCCATTTATGTACTTGTACAACTACAAGACCAACTTTAGCAAACTCGAAAAAGATTTTGGGAGGCTCAAGGTTACAAGAGATGAAGTTAAGCTTAAGGTTGATGCTGCTGAAAACAATGTGGAAAAGATCAAACAGACTGTTACGGACGGCAGCGTGACTCGTGAGTGACTGATTTACGGTGAATGACAGTGGAGAGTTAGTACTTAGGGTTAACGAAAAATCGCAAATGGGTTTTACTTTTTGAGTTTTTGTTTCAGCTTTGAAAAATTGAAATGGGTTCTACACTTCTGCGTTTTTGTCTATATGGGTGCTATTTGCAATTTGAACAACTTAAAAATAAAAAAACTTTTGAAATCTTGCAAATTACCCCCTAAGCTCGTTTAAGCTCGCGAGTCTGACAAGCCAAGCTCGGCTCGTCATTGTTCACGAGCTGCTCGAGCTCGAGCTCGACTCGATTGATTTTGAGTTGAGCTCGAGCTTGGGACGAGCCGAGCTCGACTCGACTGATTTCAAGTCGAGCTTGAGCTTGGGACAAGCTGAGCTCGATTAGCTCGCGAGCTACTCGGCTCGTGGCTCATCCCTAGCTGTAGACCTCATATTTGGATGATTCTTTGACTGTCAGAAAGCTAACTTGAAGGGCTACAACTCTTCTGTTTACCACTTAGCCAAATTCAGACTTTATCCTGCTCAGATTTTCACATTTGATGACATGATTCTAGATTAAGAAGTTGGGATTTGTTGAAGAAGTTGAGACTTGAGGGAAAAACATGGAGAGTTATTGTGAATTAGGTCCTCATTCTAGCACCAAAATGTTGATACAGAAATCTGCACCAACCAGAGAATTCCGATTAACCCTGTCGGAACTGAAATGGATGTGCGTGTGATTACGGATAACCATCAGTGGATGAATAATAAATGCAATAAAGTAAATGGCAGAGAGATTTTTAAAGTGGTTCGGCAAATTAGAACTTGAGTCTACGTCCACTGTTATTTTATTGTTTTTGCAAGCTT